CGATCACGCAATATATAAATATATAGATACATATCGATCCCCTAAGGTACATATACTAATATATATATATATATAATTAGTGATGTGCACATTAACTCATTATTAATTTGTTGATGCAGCAAATGGTTAATGCCCACATTTATGCACATTAATACTGTTAAGTTTAGTTTTTGCTCCTTAGGGTGCATTCACACCAGCCCTGTTTAGTCCGCTTTAATCGAACTCTAGCTCGTTTTCGCACACGCACACACACACCACGCACACAGCACTTAAAGCGCTCCGGCTGGGGGGCCAGTTTTACAGTTTGAGAGCGAGACAGGGGTCTGTCTCAACAAGGATTACATCCAACCACATTGAAGCTCGCATTGTCTTGACCATTTATTAACAGGAAGGTGGTTGTAGAAAAGCAAGCAAGAGGATTAGGGCTGCAACTAATGAATATTTCAATAATCAATTCATCGGCCGATTATTTTTTCAATTAATCGATGAATCAGGAAAAAAAAAATGTTTTAATTTCCACCCCTTTATTCCAAAATTGAACATTTGACTGACATAGCAATTCGCACAACAACAGGTTGCTATTTGACTATTCTGTTAGTAAAATATTGAATTAAAAAAAATAAAAGTTAGTCAAATAGCTTAAAAAATAAATGTACACAAAAACATAAACAAATGTATCTTTATACCTGCACAATATTTAGCTACTTTGTAAAATGTGTCCTTGAGGGAAGAGTGTAACCTGGATTAAAAGTGTGGATTATTGTAACCTAGATTAAAAATGTGGATTATTGTAACCTGGATTAAAAGTGTGGATTATTGTAACCTGGATTAAAAGTGTGGCTCATTGTAGTGAAGCCTTCGTCTTCAACCATCAACAGAGGCCTCATGTGAGTGACGATCATTTAAGGATGTTTCAGTGAAAACAGCTGCTGCTGTGGTGTCCATGATGTCTGTCCATCATGAAGGCTGTTGTTGTTGTTTTCTGGAATGAGAGAGTAAATATTTATTATAGCATAATTTACAGCAACTCAAGAAATGCCTTGTTTCACTTACAGTGTTAGGTTAAGGCAAAAGTAGCTAAAAGAGCAATTAAACACACACACACACACACACCCACACACACACACACACACACATATATATATATAT